ACAAGAATTAACGTATGAGGCCCATGAAATTATTGCGGAGAAAGCAGTATAGGTTTGGAATATTCGAATGCAGTCGTAGTACTACTTACCCTGGTCCTCGCCCTTGATGTTTCTAATTAATCCAGCGATAGTTCTAGCTGGTCCGTCAGGAAGATTGTATGGAGAAGCTAGGAGGTCTTCTTTAGATAATTCAAGGAAGGCTGGGCCTTTGACCTTATTTTTTTTAATTTTAGCGATGTCTTCGTCGTCAAGGTCTAACTTATCTTCATCCGCATTTTCTTGTAAGAAGGTAATAACGCCAGTTCGCGTCCATTTTTGAACCTCTTCAACTGACGGAAGAGAAATATTATCAAACATTGCTTATTTATTATTTGCTTGAGTGAAAATAGTTGTACAAGAAATGCGAAATAGTCGTACATTCTACCTTTTTATAGTTTATACAAACAATCAGATTGCTGGATTGTCGTACAACAGGTCACGTATTGTTACACGTTAAAATGACAATACCGATATTGTATTTTTCCGTAACAAAGAAATTCTTAAACTATCATTATTTTTAATAATTATTCGAGGATATAATAGATGAGTTAGGAACTTGAAACTATTATGAAATAGTGAAGCTTTCACTTATCGCTTCTTTCCTTAAAAAATTTTCACCCGTACTTCCAACCTCTAAATATATGCCACTTTTCGAAGTAATTTTGACTTTTTTTATTTGTAAGTATGTGGCCAAAAAAAATTTTATAAACCCGCATTGTGTGGCACTTTGTACCCCATCTTAAATTATGCATAACAATAAATAAGCCTTGTGATACAGATACATTTTATATGCGGAATTATTATTCTACGTAACACATGTTAAATGAATATTTTTGTTACGTGGGCGAATTATGGAAAATTATGTATAACGACCAAATCGTTAATTCTGATTTATTTTTATTAAACGGTAATAATTCGAGGTGCTTCTGTACGCATTTTTTGAAGCTCATTACTTAATGCTAAGATGGTTTTTTCGAGATTATTTTCTCCTGATCCCTTTAGATATTTATGAATAAAGATGATAGCAACGACAAAGATTATATAAATGGTTATGTTTCCCGAAAAAATGCCCTGGATCATATCCAGTGTTAGGACACCGCGGGTTACCATCTCGAAAACAGCAATTGTGACGCTGAAGACTGCAATCAAGAAAATGTCGGAGTTTGAACCCATTTTTTTAGATAGATTTTTGTTTTATTAACTTTATGTGAAATTGTTATTTTATTTTTTTACTTGTAGGAGAATGCTGAATGCGAAAATCTTATTTTTTTTTCCCTTGTAGGAGAAAAAAATGCCAAGACGCTTCTCTAGAAATACCCCTTTATATATTTTACGATGCACAGCAAAAATATGAATCTATATTCGCTAGTATGAATGGAAAAGAATCCGCTCCAAATAAAGGCATTGCATAATTGCGTGAGGGCGCGATTATCCGCTATGTATGAAAATGATATCATATCTATACCTGATCACTCCCTATTTCTGAAAAAAGAAAATATTAAGATCCTGTCCGGCGTTTATATCTAAAGACGAAAAAAGTTAGTGTATTCCTGTATCCCCATATCTCCACAACACGTTCAAACAATGAAGAATAATATTTTTTTTTCAAATATTTGGCCGTGAGGCCTTACGCAAGAGAAAAGTTTTTTATTAATAAAATTTCACTAATAAAACATTAGATAGCCTTGCTATCATATAGAGTACAGTATCTACATTATGTCGACTAAAGTCCACCCCCCCATTCCTATTCACAATTCATTTATGTCTAAAGAGAAATAGAATATATTTAATGAGACACTGCTTCGCTTAACAATAAACTGTTTATATAAGTATAGTGAGTCAACCGAAGAGTGGGATACAAAGTGACCCTCCTAGATAAAGAACGATAGATTTTTTTGTTGCTTCGAATATATAAAAAGGTGGATTTCTCTTCATCTGTGGCGCAGTTCAGAATAAAAAACTTCTTGAGTATCCCCTATAATGCAGATCAAAAAGTTGGTCAAAAAGGTAGGGTATTTATAAGAAATTTCAGATTCCCGCAGGTCGATCCACATGATCATTTTTGTGAAAAATTAACCATTCCTGGAATAAATAATCAGG